AAAGCATCTGGGATGCTGGAGGACTCTGGTTTAACTTAAATCAGGAGGGGGTCTGGAACAGACGTTACATAAACTGGTTTGATCCAAAACAGTTAAGCCTGACACTACGTTCAACCAGGCTTATCTCAAACTGGCTTCAGCCACTTTCGAACCAGTTTTTATGGGCACTGAATGTCTGTTCTGTTATGGGTTTAAACCAGTTTCTGATCACTTAAACCAGTTTGTGTAATGTCTCTCCCTAGCCAAGGAGGGTACAGGGCTAATTTGTGGTATGCCTGCCAAAAGGATTGACTCCTACTGCTTTAAAACATTCTGACAAAGTTCTTGCCATGAATATCCTAATCTTACTGGGATTAAATGAGATTTTAAAATGTACCTTTTCCAAAAAATAGAGTTGTTGTTTCTATTCAGTGTGTGTGTGTCTGTTTCTTCTTCCTCTTCTATTTTCTTCTTCACAAACTTTTATTAACCAGTATTAATTCTGTTTCCTTCAAATTTTCTGGATGTTGGAAGAGAGGCAGCTAACTAATTTATTAAACAAGGAAGAATGAGCAGAGCTTGTACCTGTACCAGATTTGCTATTGCAGGGGTCCTTAGCATAGCTGCCATAGCCCACTCCTCTGGTCTGTGCTTGCTATTAAGTCTTAAATTCCTCTTCCATTATTTAATACCCTGGTAAAACATTTTCTTTTCCTTTTTCCTTGTTTAAAAAAAAAAGACACTTCAGTCTTTGCTCCTTTTAGAATATTGCACTCTTGTAGCCTTTGGATAACAGATGCTGTAGGAGCGGCTAGTACTACTATGTACATCTTTCTGACAAATTTGTTTTCAACTTTGACTTTTTTTTAAAACTGTATACTTTTCTCCACCACTTGTCAGTTTCTGAAAAAACTGATATCCAATCAGGCTTCTGTCTGAGACCACCCAGGCTTACTAAAAATAGTGGAGTGGCTTTTTTTGAGGTTTAGCACTCCAACATGGGTAATACCAAAGTTGGTGCCAACTTAGCAGTCCTGTAAGAACTGCACCATAAGGAAGCTTTACTGGAAGCCCACACCACCAGCATCATGAGCTCAGTGTTGGCTGCTCCAGGGTCTCAACCAAGCTAGCTGAAGCTCAATACTAGCTAAAGGGGTAGGGCCTTCAATGGCAGAGATCTAGACATGCCTCATTGGTGAACCCTTGGCCCCTGGCAGCTTCATTATTAAGCTTTCCAGCCACTTAATCTAGCATCCATGGTTCTGAAGAAGAAATGGAGTATTGTGGGTGCTACTTGACTTCTCCTAACCTGTTATGAAATCTTCAGTCTGCTTCAGGAAAATCTGTTCATCAGTCATCAGCATTATGGTAAATTTCCTCTTCAGGCTAGTTGGATAGTGTGCCAAGACAAAATTCATGCCTCAAGAGCAGGCATGCTTTGGCCTTCCTTTAATGCTTCATCTGCTAAGATTATGCTTTAGGAGTCCTATTACTGTAACACTATCTGTTTGTGGGGTCAAAGATTAGGATGGTGAAGGTTGCCATCTACATTCAGAAGAACAAAAGGACTACTCTGCTAAACAAGGTAGTGACTCTTTCACATAGACCGCTCATAAAGTATCTAAAGCAGGCTGATTTGGCTTTTTTTAAATGGCCCAGAAATGTACAAGGGAGACTAAATAGTACCAGGCTTGGAGCCCTGTCACAAGGTTACATTAGTCTACCTTTCTATTTTATTTAGCCATAGGGCTGGCTAGCCAAATTCTGCTGGTCATCTTGGCTCCTAAACTGTTCTGGATATGTGTGTTATATTTTGAGAATCTTTTTGTTGCCAACAGGAAAATATTTACAGACTTCATTGGGAGAGTCTAGTTGCGCGTGCGCGCACACATACCCCTCTTTGAAATCGTAATGAATTTTTTTGAAGCTTATGGGCCCAGGATGCTTTATGTATTTTTAATACTTTATCAAATATTTAATAAGTTGTTGAAGCTACAGGAGCTATGAAATTGCTGACTACATTTAGTTAACCAGAGTTCAGTTGTAATTGCCCCCTCACAAAAGGTGCAGATATAGTAACAGTAGTTCTGTTGTGTGTTGATAACAAGGTACTTTGGGGTTGGGAAGCTAAAAAGCTATTATCTACAAAGTACATTAGAAATCCTCTCCTAATACTAAAAATGACACCTGGAGTAAAAGTAGAATATGCCTCTTCTTCTGTTACTGTGCTAATTTCTTTTTTTTTTTTTTAACTTTTCTTTCCCCCTACCCCTGCTTATTTCAGGCAAAGTAAGTTCAAGCAGTGAAATATTGCAAAATTATACATGTAACTAATAGGCACCTTGACTATTAATACTCTAATATGAAAATGCCTGATTTAGGAAGGTGTGTTTTCTTGTATTTATATATAAAGTAACTTGTGCAAAAGCACATGATCAACATACTTCAAAGTAGGAATCTTAAATTAATACAATACAAAGGAAAACCTGACTACTTCTGAAGTAATGTTATTGAAATTGCCTTTCTAGTTTTTTGCCTTGGATGTATGATCTCAGCAGTTCAACAACAAATATGACTGTTCCCTATGCCTCCTGTACCACTTTCCACTGGGAGTAAGAGAAGGGTTTATGTGACTCAACCTTACTGGCTGACATCTTATTTTATAAAAGGTAGAAATAGGCAGGTTAAATTGTGGGTTTACTTAGAAATGGAGTACTCCCTCTAGAGCAAGTTGGAACATCAAGCTAGGGATATAGTCATTCTTTTGAAGAATTCAGGGGAAGGAAGTGAATAGAGAGATTCCTATTCTAGCCATTAGAAAGAGGGTACCACGCCTGCCTACTTTCTTAGAACAAGAAGGTGGGATGAAATTTACAATCCCGATGTAGGCCTTTATTATTTGGAAAATGAAAGCCCTCTGGATGTCTGGTCATTAAAACATATTGTGAAACAGCAGCCCCTCAGTTAGAGGTATTTTTAAATATGTCTTAGTGGTTTAGGCCCTTGTGGGCCAAGTTCAAAGTGGTATTTGGGTGTATAACCACTCATTGATTCATTTCAACATCTCCTTGGTGCTTCTGTAATCCTCTTTTCTGGTCTTAATTGTTACTGAATAAAAAGCAACCTTGCCACAAGGAAAAAGCTGCATGTTCTTTAAAAAAAAAAGAAGCCATTTTTTGTTAGATCATCCAATTCTTCCCAAAATAAACTAGTTTTTCAGAAGGTTTAACTGATTTGATGCAATACTGATTATGCTCATTCTGTTTTTCCAACAGGTCATTCTGATGACACTGATAAAAACCCACTAGAGGCTAAATCTCAAATTCTTTCTAAGAAGGTAGGAGTAGCCTCTGAGTATCCCTCGTAAATCTTAATTTGAAGAAACAGTTTTGGATGTTTGTCTAACCAAGTGCATAATGAAGTAGTAGTTAGTTATCTCAAGTTCTCCATAAATACGACTCTTATGGCTTAGGCCTTTGGTGCCTGGTAGACTTGTGGCTAATAGAACACATTCAAAGATTCAAGAACCTGTTTCAACTTCATGTCCTGAAATCTTCTAGTCCCTACTAAGTTGTGGCTGCAGGAAAAGTTGATGCTTGCAGATCATCTAAATTTTAAAGCAAGGTTTAATTCTCCAGACAAGTTGCTGGTCTTATCAGCACTAGACATTAGTGGACTTAATCTCAATTCAGCAAAACGTATACTTAAAACTGTTCTCCACATGTGGCTTCAGAAGCAGTAAAGTAATGCTACTAAATTCCGCTCTTCCAGTAGTACATACTGTTCAGATGCTGATGCATCATTAGTCAAACAGTGAGATTCTCCAAAAACCCCAGTGCCTCTAAAGGTGTTGTTTATTAACCTAATATTGGTTACTGGACCTATGAAGCAAATACTGGTAGAAAGCCAGAGTACTTCCAACAGAGCCATATGCATCTATTTGTTGTTTGTTTTACTGTAATATAATGGAAGCTAGGCAGAGGAGAAAATACTGTTATGCTTCTGTGCAGAAGGCTTATTTAAGGATTTTGCACTTCTTGGAAGTAAAATATTAAGGCATATTGTCTTTTATAAGGAGAGTTTTGGGAAGTTATTTGACAGCAGCTGTGCCAATGGCTAGTAACCCATTTTTCTGATGTGCTTGGAATATATTCCAAAATTTTGGAAGCTTTCATTGGGGATGTTTTCTTAGCCAAAATTATGGGTATTCCATCTTGCTATAAGAAATTGGATTAAACATACTGGCAATTTCAGTCACTAAGAAACTGAACTGCAAATAGATTACGACTTCGGTAATGTAAAACCTTTTAAATATGTCAAACGAAAACTGCATCATCTTTTGGTACTCTACTCTACTCTAAAAATTAAGGACACAGACAGAAGAGCAGCTCCCTGCTGTAACTTGTTATGCTTTGCAGGAAGCATTATGAGTTGCAACAATCCTCTAGACCAAACAGAAGTTGGCTGTTGGGTTGAGGGGGGGCAGGGTTGGGGGTTGGGAAATCCCAGCTGCAGGTTACAAACTTGCAGCTGGTTTCCTCCAGCAATGACCACCCCCTTCCTCCCTCCCAGCATAGGCACTGTGTTTTCAGAATGGGAGTTCTAGGGGTTCCCCAGTCACTGTTGGAGGCTGGGGTGGGTGGATTGGAGCCCCCACCTCCTCTGCAGGTTACAATAGACCCAGAAAGAAACCCTAGAACAAACTCCCTCCTCTCCCTTCCCCCCTCCCATCCTGAAAACAGCTCCCAGGCTGGGAGGCAGGCAGACACAAGTTACTGAAGATACTATGTTTTGAAACGTCTTCATCTGAGCCCTTATGCAATGAGGGGTCAGACTTTCGTGGGATTGTGCCCTTTTAAAGTGCTTTGCAGCCAAGGACTTCTTTGATCACGACTCGGGTGCTTTCAGGGGCCAGTCCAGGCAAAAATTGCCACTTCTGTCTGCACCTTAAGGAACTTTGTATAGCAATGTACCTTAGTACACAGACTATTTAAACTGGACAGGTACTTTCTTTGTTTCAGGACTTAAAGCTGAAGAATACAGAGTCCTGGATAAGCTTATGTAAGAAGATGGCACTTCCAGCTCCCATAAAAGCTTCAACTGAAAGCTTCAAACAATTCAGGAAAGTGGCACTAGAAAAGGAAAAGAGTGAGCGAGTGCAGGAATTGAGGAGACAAGTAGAAGCTGAGGGGCAGTGGAATCCTCTTCCTCAAGAAAGGTAACTCCAACAGTCCAATTTTCTTAAGTCTTAGCTCCTTTTATACCATGAGCCTGTGGACCAGATGGCACTGGTCAGGCCGCAGTTGGAGTACTGTGTCCAGTTCTGGGCGCCGCACTTCAAGAGGGATGTGGACAACATGGAGAGGGTCCAGAGGAGGGCCACTTGCATAACCAGGGGACAGCAAGGCAGGACCTATGAGGAGAGGCTAAGGGACCTGAACCTGTTCAGCCTCCAAAAGAGAAGGCTGAGGGGGGATCTTGTGGCCTGTTATAAACTAGTCAGGGGGGATCAGCAGGCACTGGGGGAGTCCCTGTTCCCCCGAGCACAGCCAGGAGTGACCAGAAATAACGGTCACAAGCTGGCAGAG